TGGGTGAATGTGAGGTTATTCGCTTTGGTCGCAAAAACAAGAAGGCAGATTATTATCTGAATGGTGGCAGTTTAGGAAACGGTAGATGCAACGAAACCTGGGTGTCAAGATGGAACTGTTGCTGCAGGTTGGCATGCAGGTGCAGCAGGCAGTGAGGAAAGCTAATGGCATGGTGGTCTTCATACTGAGAGAATTTGAGTATTGGAGTAGGGTGTCTTGCTGCAGTTATACAGGGCCTTGCTGAGGCCACACCTTGAGTATTGTGCACAGTTTTGGTCTCCTAGTCTGAGGAAAGACATTCTTGCTATTAAGGATATCCAGTGAAGGTTCACCAGACTGATTATCAGGATGGCAAGAATGACATATGAGGAAAGGCTGGATCGACTGAGCTTGTACTCACTGGAATTTAGAAGAATGAGGGGGGGATCTCATAGAAATATATAAAATCCTGAGGGGACTGAACAGGCCAGATGTGGGAAGAATGTTCCCGATGTTGGCGAAGTCCAGAACTAGGAGTCATAGTCTAAGAATAAGGGGTAAGCAGTTCAGGACTGGGATGAGGAAGAATTCGAGGAAGTCTTGTGAACCGATGGAATTCTCTCCCACAGGAAGCTGTTGGGGCCATTAGATATATTCAAGAGGGAGCTAACGTGGCGCTTGCAGCTGAAGGGATCAAGTGGTTTGGGGAGAAAGCGGGAGTGAGATTTGAGATTGCATGATCAGCCATGATTATATTGAATGTTGGCGCAGGGCTAAAGGGCTGAATGGCCTACTCCTGCACCTATTTTCTATATTTCAATGTTTCTAATAGATTCTCAGTTATGCAAGAAGGGGAGGTGGAAGGTTATGGGAGAGATAGGTGGGAATGTAGCGTAAGCAGATCAGTCATGATCTTATTGAAAGGCAGAGTAGGTTCAAATGGTTAAGTGGCTTAAGCCTGCTCCTATTTCATATGTCAGTAATGCCAACACCCCAATTAAAAAATCCATTTGCAATTTTTAAACAAACTGTGAAGGATTTTAATTATAGATCATTTTGACACAATTTCAGAATGAATAATTCAACATCTTGCATTTCTGTCAAGTGTTTAACATAATAAAACATTCCAAGATGCTTCACAGGCCCATGATTCAGTAATATTTTACATGAAGCCACATAAAACAAACCCTAAGCAGCTGATCAAAACCTTGCACAGCGATCTTAGGCTAGACGGCTGGAAAACACTTCAGTGACAGGGAGGGCAGTGGTTCAAAAGGATTTTGAGCATGAGAATGAGAAAAGTACAATTGAGACATTGCTGAACTGTGATTCAATGGGCACTGGCATAATGTCTGAATGGGACTTGTATTGTGATCCCAGACCAGACCTTCAAATCTAGTTGCAATTCAGTTAGGGGGCAATAACTTTAAAGTTGATAAAATTTGAAATCCCATTTTTTCATTCACTTGTGGGATGTCACTGGCTGGGTCAGCATTTATTGCCTGCCCCTAAATGATCTTGAGAAGATGGTGGCGAGCTGCCTTCTTGACCTACTGCAATCCAAGTACTGTAGGTAGACCCACGCTGTGATCAGGGAGGGATTTCCTAGGGAAAGCGAATAAAGCCATGAGATTCTATGGTTTTAATCAGATAAAATCAGTCCAAAGATGTGCAGGTTAGGTGGATTGGCCATGCTAAATTGCCCATGGTGTTCAGGGATGTGTAGATTAAGTTGGGTTATGGGGGATGGGTCTGGGTGGGATGCTCTAAGAGTCAGGGTGGACTTGTTGGGCCGAAGGGCCTGCTTCCACACTGTAGGGATTCTATGATTCAAAAGACATTTTGCTTTGTAACTCTCAACAAAGCAAATAATCTGCAACATCTGTTATATTTTAACATGCAAAATTAGAATGAGTTAAACAGAAATTCTCTTTTTTTAATTCATTCGTGGGATGAAGGCTTGCTGCCTAGGCCAGCATTTATTGCCCCTCTGTGACTACTCTTGAGTAGGTAGTGATAAGCTGCCTTCTCGAACCGTTGCAGTCCATTTGATGTAGACAGATCAAAAATGCTGTTAGGGAAGCTGTCCTAGGATGTTGTCCAAACAACAGTGAAGAAACAACGTTATATTTCCATGTGAGGATGGTGGGAGGCTCAGAGGGAAACTTGCAGTTGGCGGTTAATAGGATATCTGTGGTGGATCACATGATAAATTGTACATTAAGTGGCAGATACAAGCAAAACAGATTTCACAAATCTCTCATCAACTTGCCCAGCTGAGAGTGATCACTGTGGGTCACAAAAGTTTTTAAAATTCTAGCCTCGATTTTCTACCACATCAGAGGGCATCTCGGACAGGGTAAAAACTGCCAAAAGAAGTTTGGAATCTCAAGGCATGGGGAATAGATAGAGGGCATTAAATTGCATAGGTGAACATCGGGAATGTCTGGGTGTGAAAGGAGTAAAGGCTGGAGGACTATTTTACATTTCCCTCCTTTTGATGAGGTAAGGTATCCCTTTGGTACTAGTCCTGGGACACTTTTACTCTAAGCTAAACATCTTTGGGATTATGGAAAGGCAAGCTTGTGCAAAAAAAAAGTACATGAACTAATTGGAACTGACAAATTTGTCAAAAAGCTGTGTAAAAAGATGGAAAGTTTAAAAAATAGAGTGCTAGCTATTTCAGAGTACCTATTCATATAAAACTACCACAGGATTTGTGCTGCAAAACTGATTTCCCTGTCATTATTTGGAGATATGGTATATGTGGAGCTATGGGTAGATAAAATTGGGTGGTAAAGGCTGGTACCTGAGGTAGGCTTTCCCCTTTGCCCTGGGTTTGCAGAGCTGGGATTTTTCCCAACTCCATGCATCCCATGAGGGAATGAAAATCAGGCCACTGTCTCCCATGCAAGGTATTGCAGCAATTCTATTTCAAGATCTAGCCTCTGATTTCAAAAACCAATTTATTCAGAATGCGTTAACAACTGCCGACCTCCCATATGCTCAATCTCTTCCTCTGAGGCTGTGTTTTGTTGGATTCATTTTTCTGCACTCTAGTACCTAATCACTGGCACAATTCCAGGTCCCTGGGTGTTCTAAGTAGAACCCCATGGCCTACATTCATTCCTTTGCCCCACACTTCCATTTTCACTAATGGACAATTGTTGCTTACAGGCTTTGTCTTTAACAGCTCTCTAATAGACAGCTCCCTCTCAAGTCCATGGAACTTATAAATGACCCAGTGCTTCTTGAATCCCAATTTGTCAGCAGTGCTGAGCTGTTAAAAGGCTCCTTGGACCCCAATTTCACAAAGCCAGGCAGCACTTCAGTTACATGGGAGCTAATGGACTGATTACTCACTGACCCTTAAACTGATCTGTATCATCTTTTGAAATGCTCCAATTTCGTGATATCCCTGTATTTTTTTCTTCTTTGGCCAGCATTTGTTGCCCATTCCAAACTGCCCTTTAACAGTATGGACTGGTTAAGACCTTAACACCATAAGACATAAGAGCAGAAATTAGGCCATTCAGCCCATCAAGTCTGCTTTGCCATTCAATCATGTCTGATAAGTTTCTCAACCCCATTCTCCTGCTTTCTCCCCATAACATTGATCCTTTGATCCCCTTGAAAATCAAGAACCTATCTATTACATCTACTTGAGTATGTTTAAGATGGAGTTAGCATGAAGAATTTTCCTTCTAAATCTCTCCCATTGCCTGAGGCATAGTGATCCTCAGGTTAAACCACCACCAGTCATCCCTCTATAATGAGAGAGCAAACAAATGGTTTGGTAGGACTATGGAAACTATTCCTTTTACCTTGAACTAAGTGGTGTGTTAGACAATTTCGGAGGGCATACTAAGAATCTGGTGTCACATATAAGGTTTCTTTCCCAAAAGAGAGGAAATTAGTGAACCAGATATTTTGACAATTGACAATGGTTTCATGGTCACCATTACAGAGACTAGCTTTCAACTCTAGATTTATGCATAGAATTTAAGCTCTTCCAGATGCCATGGTGGAATTTGAACCCATGTCCCAAAAACATTAGCCTGGGGTTATGGATTTGCTTGTCCAGTGACATTACCATGACACCATCATCTCTCCTTGGGATTGGCTTGACTGTGCAATCACAGAATCCCTACAATGTGGAAGCAGGCCATTGAGCCCATTGAGTCCACACTAACCTTGCGAACAGCAATCCCACCTAGACCCCACCCCTTACCCTATCCCCGTAACGCTACATTTGCCACGGCCAATCCATCTAACCTTCACATCGGGAAACCGGAGCACCTGGAGGATGCCCACAAAGACAAAGGGAGAATGTGCAAACTCCACACAGACTGTCGACCAAGTGTGAGAATCAACCTGGGTCCCTGGCATTGTGAGGCATCAGTGCTAACCACCATGAAACTGTGCCCTCCCCTATATATCATAGAATCCCTGCAGTGCAGATTCAGGCTATTTGGCCCATCAAGCCTGCACCGACCCAATGAAGAGCATCCCACCCCGTCCCTGCAACCCCACATTCACCATGGCTAATCTAGCTAGCCTGCACATTTTTTGCACTTTGAGAGGAAACCGGAGCATCCAGCGGAAACCTACACAGACAGCCAATCAAGGCTGGAATCAAACCTGGGTCCCTGATGCTGTGAAGCAGCAATGCTAACCATTCTGTCACCATGCCACCTGTTCTGTATTCTAGACAGAATTGAATGTCTAGACCCTTGGAACATTCAGTGCTTTAAATGGTACAATATCCAGGCAACTAGCTGATACTATTCAGCTCTGCTATTTTACAGAACACAAAGAGCCAACAACAATGAAAATTAATTTCATCACACTAGCCACAAGAAAGGCAGCAGAACTTTGGACAACTTGTAGTTCTTCCAAAAATGAAGTTTTCCAAATATCTTTTATGAGGACATTGTTCTGTTTAGTGAGTTGCTTCTTGTTTCTAAATATTGCATTGCTTCATGTTCGATTGAAGAATTAATTTTGTTTTTTTTTCTTAGCTTTGTAGGAATTCTGATGTCAATGCAAAGTAGATTTATCTCTCACTTCATATAACGTGGATGATAAGCAGTGGATTGAACATGGAACCTGTTTTCTGTGAGAACTGCATAAAGATTGACAGCAGCCTGTATTTCTACCAGATCATTGACGGCAGAAATTTATTGCTCATTGTCCTGTTTGCAAAGGTCATCCTCAACTTTCTCATCTTGAGCACAAAGCGAAGCATACTCCCGAGTTTAATTGGCTATTTCTGCATCTCCCTATCATTGATGGATCTTGCACTATTTGTGAATGTGTTAATAGTTTCATGTTTTAAGACATGTACAGTGCTTGGAACTCAAATTGGAAACCATCATGTTTGCCTGCTTCTACAGATTTTCTCATCGATGTACAGTGTCCTGCATTTTCCCATCTTCTTCCTGTCTGGTCTTGATTTTTATCTAAACCTACCTCATCTTGACAAACCCATAAGCACGTCCCAGAAAATCCTATATATTTTCAATATCACGCTACTATGGTTTGGAGCCATTGTCTATGTATTTGATATGCACAGTCTCCATCCATCACTAAAAGCTGTCTTGTACTACTATTTGTACCAATGCGATGTCACCATCAGCGTTCAGAGCCACTTTCTCTCCATTCTGATACTTCTGACAGTGATTCTTGTGACTATTTATTGTTGGTCTGGTTTGAGATCCCTTGTCAGATCTCTGAAGGTCATTTCCTATGTGGAAGAGGTTGTGGTGATATGTTCACACTCCAACGCGTGGCTGCAGTCCCATTCAGCCAAGAAACAACTCCTGACCAATATTACCATGTGCTTTCTCTTGACCTGGAGCCCATTTATTCTCCTTCAGCTGACCGTTGTTTTGATCTGGGCTCCCCTGCCTGCCTACATGGATTTGAATGTTCCTTGGCTTTGCTTCATGAACAGCTTCCTCATTGGAGCCATGTACTGGCTGAGGTATGGTGAGATCTCTCAGGATATCATTTCCTTATTTCCTGACGGGTTCTGCCAGTGGAAATTTTGCCATGTCCAGCAAGTTTTCACTGCTGATGACGAAGGATGGATCCCAGCGAAAGAGGACAATGAATCAAAAATTCTAATTGCCTGAAGGAACATCCTGAAAGCACTAGTGTATTTTTCAGTCTGGTAGCAATATTGATTCATCTTGTTTCTTAATCTTTGATAAGAACATTAATGATCACTGATATAGATGATTTGAGATTTATGCAAGAGTGGAATTATTAAATGGGATTTTTAAAAATTGTGTTCTCCTGCACACACTTATCTCTTGAAATTTCTTGAGTGTGATCCTTCTAACTGTAACTCTCAAACTTGTCACTTATTTCAGATATATTTTGGCTTCACATTTATGAAGCAATTTCTGCAGGGATAATGGTCATAAACTTTCAAATTAAGTTTTAATGATTTGCAAAAGACATTAAGATTACTTTCTTAGGGCATTTGGTGATCAAACCATCTCTATTGTCTATTCACAGAGCTACTTAGCTTTGCCTACAACTGACATGTAACTATGAAATGTGTAGTACAGGCAAAAAAGTCAAGTATTTCTGTGGTTGGTGTTTAGTGTAAAGAAATTGAGGGTGACAATGATGATGAATAAAATAGTTTGTGCTTTCCATGTATTTGTCATCAGTTGCACTGTGTACTCGGGTCATTCTGCTGCATGCATGGATGGCTCATCTCCACTCATGGGTTTTATGTCCTCCTTTACTCCGCCCCCAGTTAGATGAAGGCTAAATGGAGACCCATGTGGAACATTAACACTGGAATGGACCATTTAGAATACATGGTTTGCTTTTGTGCTGCACATTCTACTAAATTCAATTTCCATTCAGTTTTCTACATTACCTTTTTTCTGCTTGTTCTTTAAGCACTCCGGATTAGAGTTTGATTATGTTTTTGCTTCTAAATTCCTAACTTCCTCCACACTTGTTTTACTCAACGTCCTCCTGAGTTCACTGTTACCTCCCCTAGTTTCCCCTATATGTATTTGAAGACCACCTATATCACCAACACCCATGTTAATGTTCTTCCAATGTGCCTACTTAAGTGGGAATGCATGTTGTATACCACCCACCCAAACTTCAAAGGCAACTGGCATACTAGGCTGGGGATGCATCACTAGATACAAAGTGGAAGATATTAAAAGGGATGATTCAGAATAAATATATTTGTACTGTAAAGGAAAATTATAAAAGGAGGACATCATATACACTTTGTCTGTGGTTAATTGCAGATCATCATCGAGAGTATAGTTTCACACTGACGAAACTATGCGGAATTTTCCAAATTACCCTGAGTTTTTCTAAGGGTAAATCATTTCAATCAACTATTGGGAGTACTCTGAAGGAATATCATTTGCTATCGATAAAGATGACCGTGGATTTCCAGACAGGTTTTGATAAGGTGCCACATCAAAGATTATAATGGATAATAAAACCTCATAATGTAAAGGGTAACATATTAGATGGATAGAAAATTGCCTGGCAGATTGGCTGGCAGCTAACTAAGCATAACAGGGTTTTTGTCAGATTGGTAGGATGTGTTGAATGGATTCTCACAAGCGTTCGTTCTTGGGCCTAAACTTGTCATAATTTACAGCAATGATTTAGATGAGAAGAGCAAAGATTCTGTAATAAAATTTACAGTTGATACCAAGATAGGTAGGAAAATATGAAGAAAATCAGGAAGTTAACTTGAGTGAGTAGGCAAAAATTATGTCGATGGATTATAATGTGGGAGAATGTGAGGTTGCTCATTTTACCAGGAAGAATGAAAAAGGACACTATTACTTAAACAAAGAATGGGATTTGACCCTATCAGACCATATGGATCGCTTGATGCTGCAGTTAGGGGCAATGAGAATTTTACAACAGCAAGGGGCTGTGATGAATGGTAGCTTCAGAAAGGTAGAAAAAATACAGACACAGTCAGGTGGATGGTTGACTGCTAGGAATGGTATGAGAGGTAGCCAAGTAGTGCAGGAGTCTCCTGTGGCTATTCTCATCTCAAACAGGTATGCTGTTTTGGATTCTGTAGGGAGGATGGCCTCTCAGGAGGGTATAGCAATGACAGCCAGGTTTCTGATACCAGGACTAGTTTTATTGTAATGACGGGTATGTCAGGTTCCAAGTGATCGATTGTAAGAGGGGATTCTGTGGTCTGGGGCACAGACTAACATTTCCGCAGCTGTCAGTGAGACAGGATGGTGTGTTGCCTCCCTGGTACCAGGGTCAAAGATGTCTCAGATAGGAGGCAGAATATTCTGAAAGGGGAGAGCGATCAGCAGGATGTTGTTGTGCATGTTGGTACCAACGACGTATGTAGGGAAAAGGATGAGGTTCTGCATAGAGAATATAGGAAACTAGGCAGGAGGTTAACAAGTAGGTCATCAAGGGTAGAAATATTTGGACTACTACTGGTGCCATGTGCTAGTGAGAGTAGGAATAGGAGGATAGAGCAGATGAATGTGTAGCTGAGGAGCGAGTGCAGAGGGCAAGGATTCACATTTTTGGATCATTAGAATCTCTTCAGGGGTATAAATGACCTGTTTAAGAGGGATGGGTTTCAACTGAATTGGAAGGGGACCAATATTCTCATGGAGAGGTTTGCTACTGCTACTCGGAAGGCTTCAAACTAATAAGGGGAGTTGAGGGGGTTGAGTGTTGAGGTGTGGGAATGAAAATGATAGTGAGAAAAGAGAAAAGGCTGAGGCTGGTATAGTAGCTAAGGGAAGCAAGCCAAACAGTCAAGGCAGACTAGAGCCTGGCAGAGAATGAGGTAAGACTGATAAATTAAACCATATTTACTTCAATGCAAGAGGCCTGACAGGTAAGGCAGGTAAACTTAGGGCATTGTTTAGAATACGTAATTGGGATATCAAAGCTATTACAGAAACATGGCTCAGGGATGGATGGGGCTGGCAGCTTGATGTTCCAGGGTACAGATGCTACAGGAAGGATAGAAAGGGAGGCAAGAAAGGAGGGAATGGTGTTTTTGGTTAGGGATAACATTATGGCTGTACTTAGGGAGAATATTCTTGGGAGATCATTCAGTGAAGTTATAAACATGGAACTGAGAAATAAGAAAGGGATGATCACCTTTTTAGGATTGTATTATAGGCCCTCTAAAGTGGGAAATTGAGAAGCGAATATGTAAGGAGACCTCAGATATCTGTAAGAATAATAGGGTTGTGATGTTAGGGATTTTAACTTTCAAAACATAATCTGGGACTTCCATTGTGTTAAGTTCTTGGATGGGGAGGAATTTTTTAAGTGTGTGCAAGACTTATTCTTATTCAATATGTGGGTGTGCCTACTTGAGAAGGAGCAAAGCCTGACTTGTTGGGAAATAAGGCAGCAAGTGACTGAGGTGTCGGTGGGGGAGCACTTAGGGGCAAAGTGACCATAATTCTATTATTTTAAAATAGCCATGGAACAGGATAGAACTGATCAAAAGTTAAAGTTCTATACTGGAGTAAAGTCATTTTTGACAGTATTAGAGAGAAACTTTCAAAAGTTGATTGGGGGAAGCTATACGCAGGTAAAGGGATGATTTGGAAGTGGGATGCTTCAAAAAGGAGATTACAGAAGTCCGAAGGCAGTATGTTCCTGTCAGTGTGAAGGGCAAGGCTGATTGGTGTAGGGAATGGTGGATGATGAGAGAAATTAAGGCTCTGGTCAAGTAAAAGGAGGCATACATAACAACTGAGATCGAGTGAATCCCTTGAGGAGTATAAGGGCAGTAGGAGTATACTTAAGAGGGAAATTGGGATGACAAAAAGGCAATGAGATGGCTTTGGCGAATAGAATTAAAGAGAAATCCAAAGAGATTCTATAAGTACATTAAAGGTAAAAGAGTAACTGGGGAGAAAATAAGGCCCCTTGAAGATCAATATGTGGAACTGCAGGAGATTGGTGAGATAATAAACAAGATTTTGTGTCAGTATTTACTGTGGAGAAGGACATGGAAGCTAGGGAATTTGGGGAAGTAAATAGTGATATCTTGAAAAAAGTTCGTATTATGGAAGAGGAGGTCTTAAAAATGCATAAAGGTAGATAAATCCCAAGGATCTGACCAGGTGTTTTCCAGAACTTTGCAGGAAGCTAGGGAAGAGGTTGCTGGGCCCCTTGCTGAGATATTTGTATCATCAATACCCATGGGTGAAATGCTGGAAGACTGGAGGTTGGCTAATGTGGCGCCAGTATTTAAGAAAGGCTGAAAGGAAAAGTCAGGGAACTATAGACTGATGAGCCTTATGTCGGTGGTGGGTAAATTGTTGGAAGGAATTTTGAAGGGCAGAATTTACATGCATTTGGAAAGGAAAGGACTGATTAGGGATAGTCAACATGGCTTTGTGCGTGGGAAAGCACATCTCAGTGATGACTGAGTTTTTTGAAGAGGTGACAAAGAAGATTCAAGGCAGAGTGCTAGATGTTGTTCATATGGACTTCAGCAAAGTGTTTGACAGGATTCCGCACAGTAGACTGGTTAGTAAGGTTAAATTCACGAGGATCCATCATTGGATACAAAATTAGCTTGAAGGTAGGAAACAGAGGGTCATGGTAGAAGATTGCTTTTCAGACTGGAGGCCTATGACCAGCTGTGTGTTATAAGGTTTGGTGCTGGGTCCACTGCTTTTCATTATTTACATAAATGATTTGAATAAGAATATAGGCGGCTTGGTTAGTAACTTTGCAGACCTACAAAATAGGTGGTGCAGTGGACAGTGAAGAAGATCATCTTGGAGTACAATGGAACCTTGATCAGATGGGTCAATGGGCCGAAGAGTGGCAGATAGAGTTTAATTTAAATAAATATGAGGTGTTGCATTTTGGTAAGTCAAACCAGGGCATAATTTACACAGTTAATGGTAGGGCTCTGGGAAGTGATGCTGAACAAAGAGACCTAGGGGAGCAGGTACACAGTTCCTTTAAAGTGGAGTTGCAGGTAGACAGAATGGTAAAGAAGGCATTTGGCATGCTTGCCTTCATTGGTCAGAATACTGAGTACAGGAGTTAGGATGTCATGTTGTGCCTGGGGCTATTTTCCCTTGGGCAGAAGTTGAGAGATGACCTTATAGAGGTTACAAAATGATGAGGGGCATGGATAGAGTGAATAGACGAGGTCTTTTTCCTAGGGTGGGGAGTCCAAAACTAGAGGGCATAGGTTTAAGATGAGAGGGAAAAGATTTAAAAAGGATCTGAGGGTAACATTTTCACACAGAGGGGTAATATTTTCATGCAGAGGTTGGTATATGTATGGAATGAGTTGCCAAGGATGTGGTGAGGTGGGTACAATTACAACATTTAATAGACATCTGGATGAGTACATGAATATGAACGGTTTAGAGGAATTTGAGCCAAATGCTGGCAAATGGCACTAGGTCAGATTAAGATGTCTGGTCGGCATGGATGAGTTGGTCTGAAGTGTCTGTTTCTGTGCTGTGCGACTCTATGACTCTATACCTTAGTACACAGGTACAACACATAACCTAGAAGACTAATGGAATGCTATCTTTAACATAAATGTAAGGGTTTTTATGCTTCAGTTGTGCAGGGAACTGGTATGACTACATCTCGAACATTGTCTCATTTTGATCTTTTCAAGGAAGAATGTAAATGCATTGGATGGAAGCAGTTCAGAGGTTTATGAGGCTGATACCTGACGATAGTACTGTTTTATGAGGATAGATAGGCTGGATTTATTTTCTCTGGAGTTTAGAAGAGTGAGGGGTAACCTGATTGACATGTATAAAGATCTTGAATGGTCTTGATAAGGTGGATATGGATAGAATGTTTCCTTTTGTGGGTCAGTCAGAAACAGGAGACTTTAAAATTGGGGGATCTCTTTTCAGTACAGGGGTGAGATTTGTGTTTTCTCAGAAGGTTGTGCAACTTTGGAAATCTCTGCCTCAGAAGGCAGGCTCATTAAATACGTTTACAACAGAAGTGGAGAGATTCTTGCTAGACAGGGGCATTAAGGGCTAATTGGGAATATGGAGTTTGAAACACAAACAAATTAGTCTCATGATCTTGAATGGCAGAGCAGGCTCAAAGATTCTACTTCTGTTTCTAATTCATATGTTTGTATGTAAATCTGGTTGGAAATCCCAACACGATATAGAGCAAAGGGATTGCCAATGTTTGTATTGCTCAGTGCCTTAAAGATACCACAGGGCCAAGTTGTGTTAATCTTAAAGAAACCTCGCTTGTCTGCAGCCTATTTGCCCCCTGCATGGCACAATCCTGACGGCTGCATTGCAACACATCTACGCAGTGTAGAGGAACAGTAGCCTTGATCCCATTGTATTCACTGCTGTGCCATATTAGGCAGGCAGCACAAATTGGAGGAAAGTCTTGACTGATGCCTGGAAATCATATGGAGACCAACATGTACCAGGGTTTATTACTGCGGGCAACATACGATACCAGATAAACTTGCTAATGGAAGAACTTACACTTATACAGCACATAATTTTCAGGACCTCAAAACATCCAAAGCATTTGAAACCAATGAAGTAGTTTTAAGAGGTGTGTCTGTGGGGTAGGAAACATAACAACAAATTTGTAGACAGCTAGGTCTCGCAATAGCATTATGATAATGGCCAAGCATATCTGTTTTATAACGATGTTGATATTGACTAAGACACCTAGAAAGAACTCCCCTCCTTCAAAATAACACTGTGGGTTCTCTTATGACCACTCAAAACAGCAGATGAACAACATTTCATCTGGAAGACAGGACCTCTTCCATTTGCCTTTGTACCACACTTGAGAGTGTCAGCTACATTTTGTTCCCATTCAGGGAGAAGCACTTCCACAACCTTTACATTTAGTTGACACCTGACAGCAGCAATAATATTGTTGGATTGTTATCACCTTAACTTTCCTCTGCAGGACACACGTGGTTATGATTTAGGCATATATTGGTGCTCTTTCACTGTTGCTGTGGAATTTCACAAACCATCACAGGGACTACAGAGATTCAAGGAGAAAACCTCCCAGCATCTAATAAAGTTGTTGGAAAATGGAGGTACTTTTTAAAAAACGGATATTACACATGACTAAAATGCATAATTCAGTCAGATAATCAGCTTTTCCTTGCTTTACCAGCATCATCCACATGCTGTGAATTAATAAAGAATAAAAAAAACAACTCAATGAGCTTACATTTTTGAACTTTTTTATTAACTGAAAACATTGACACATACGGGGGTGGGGGGAGGGGTGGGGTGAGGGAATTTGGGATGTATGGTCACAATGAAACCCTTAGGCTGGTTGGGTTTACACTAAACACTTTGTTACAGATGTGGACCAGCACAGTGACTCTAAAGTGACTCTACCACAGTCCTTAAACAACAATTGCACATTTAACGATAAAAATACACCATGTATAAAACAGTACAATGCAATCATCCATCTTGAAAGGCTGACATTTTTCTTTCCACAAAATTATGATGTAAGACTCAGTTGGGTTGGCACACAAGCCACTGGGGCGATGTCCTCAATGAGTGCAGCAATATGATTTGACAGTGAGTATGCTCCTGTCTCAGAGAACACTATAAACAGTCACTTTTGGAAAGAGTCAGAGCTGCTCCTTCTCTAGCACTGATGGCAACCTATGAAAAACAAAATGCTTCCTCAAAACTATCAAAGTTGGCTTTGCCAAAGCTTTGATTTGTGTAAACGTCTTCAATGAAATCAGCAATTTGAATGCTTATCAGCACGATACTATAAACATTAATAGTCTGTAAGCTACACAATACAATACAGTTTCTATAGGCTGCTTTTCAAAGCCTTATTTGACAAAAGTTCACAGTTTTTACATTGGTTCTGCAGAACACTTAAAGGGGCTATGTCATTGTGCACCAGGGCTAAAAGACAATCCATTGAAATAGTGTTGCCAACTGGTAATCCCAACATTACCCACAAACAGGTTGTAGTCATGTCTGCTGTCAAAGATTGTCTTTCAGCCCAGTAATGAGTGGGGGCCACTACAATACTCAGAATAGACAGCAGTGTGTAACTCCATTGTACTCAGTCAGCTGTTGGGCACCCACTCAGCATAATGGTGGATGAACAGTGCTAGCCTTTACTCAACTCTTAGAACACAAAATAACTTCCTAAAACATTCAAAGCTGACTTTGCCAGAAACCATGAAACAGAGTCCTACCAATTGACGTAACCCCGTGAAAATAGGGCTGAAATTCCCAGCAAGTATTTTTAGTTTATAAAATTCTGCTGCAAGATTTTTGCATCCTCTTTAATGCATAGTAACAGACCTTCGTAACAACCCATCCCTAGGCTTATGCACACATTTTAAATAATTAGTATTCCAGCATAATTGAATGAAATAGATAAACCACTGCAACTGCATAAAACAGATTGAAAATCTCTGGTATAAATCCATGTTTCCTGATTCTTTCAGCCTCATTCCTTAACAGTGAGTACAGTACTAAATAAGATTATCCTTGAGTACTTGATCTGGTCCTTTCATTTTTCTCCTTAGTCTGAAAGCCACGAAGGTATAAGACAGATTTCTTGGCGAATACCTGTGATAATTCTTTATTTCTGTTCTTTGGCATGGGATGTTTGCATCTTAAACACTGGAAAATATGGGTCAATTCAACCAGATCATAACTGATCTGCATTGTATCTCCCTGCATCTACTTTTGCATGACAGATGGGCTCATTTTACAACCAATTAAATACTTTTGAAGCCTCAAAACTTTGTTGTATGAAACAAGGTTGTCAACTAGCGCTAGCAAAATCAGACACTCTGGCTGAGAGGCAGCTATTTGCCAGAGAAAGGGGAGAAAATAATGCCCTGAATTCTCTTATGTCCAGTGGAGAGGGCAGATGGAGTCTTGACTTAAAAATCTCTTAACAGTACTTTGGACAATTCAGTACTGCACGAGAAGTGTCAACCTACCTTGTAACCCTACCTTTGGGATATTTATGGATTTATCCAAATAACACCGAACAGATGTTAAAGAACATTCAGCGCTGAGAGGCACTGGGAGGAGAGAAGGCGAGTAAAAGCAGCTTGTGGTTTCAAATCTAAGACCAGAGACTTGAGCACAAAATGCAGGCTGATATGCAGGTGCAGCATGGAAGGAGAGTAGCACTGTTGAAGACACCATCTTTCAGGTGGGATGTTAAAATTGAGACCCCATTTTCCCTCTCAGGTAGAAGTAAAACATTCCATGGCACTTTTTTAAGGAAGGGCAGAGGAAATTTCTCTGGTGTCTTGACCTATTATTCCAGTGTCCTGTTGCAGAGGGAACAGACAGAAAGCATCATACAACTGGAGTTTCTAAGATGATTTTTGAGTTCAAGATATAGGAGCCTGTTGCAGTTCTTGCTAATTATCTTTAACCTTCATGTGTTTATAACCATTAATTTTAAATAGTCATCATGCTTTAACATTGCAATGTATTATCCCTCAACCAACATCACTCTAAAACATTATCTGGTCTGTTATCATCTTGCCATTTTGCATAAAATAGCTAGTGTATTTCCTACATTACAACAGTGGCTGCACTTCAAAAATATTTAATTTCCTCAAGAACATTTTGGGATTCCCAAGGTTATGAAAGGAATGATATGAATGCAAGTTTTTATTTTATTTATGGTTTAAAAAGACAGCAATTGCCAAGTACAACAGAAATCCTTGTGATCACTTTATAAAAATTGTGCTTTTTTGACTACTTTCTACGAAAATAAGATCGGGGATCAGTGTTTCAGATCCATATATCTCACAAGCTGATTTCACCCACTTCAACAGTTCTGCTTGGAATATCAAAGCCTCAAACTTAATGCTGATAGGAGCAAACTTTGGACCCATCTTAAGGTCAGGTGCAGTGTAGCTGGGTAGTAGCAGGATTACCCTTCCAAAGCTTTTGGAGAGGGATAATGAGGGAGAAATCACCACATCAACAAGGAATGACCACAAACCAAACATAATATTGCTCATTTACAATGATATTAACACAGGCACAGAAAGAGAACATTTCACCCCTTGAGCCTGGTCTGCCTTTCAGGGAGGTCATAGCTGATCCAAATCTAGATTCCACAGACCCTCTATCAATCCAAGTTTTCAAAATAACAATTACTTGCATATCCATTATAATTTGTGGAAAACAGGTCCAGACTTCCACCACCCTTTGCATTTAGAAATCTTTCCTAATTTCACGCTTGGAATGGGCTTCGCTGTGTTTGAAGATTCTAATGGAAGACCTTATGATCAGACGTATCATTTTAATATTGCAGTTCTAATGCAATCAGCCTTCTTTTTAGGTTCTGTCTCTAAATAATAAGTCAAGAATAAAATATGATACAAATTCATTTGGATCCTTGGACAATCATGGCATTTTCCAGTAATTAAATTATATCTTAAATCTTAAAAGTGAAGTTTCAGTGATTTTAATCTATATGTCAATGATCTAACGAACATAGTGCCCACTTTAGTGATCCATAAAAACACACACAATAACTGAATGTAAGCATGAGGAGTAGGGAGAAAACATGTATTTTGCAAATACATATGATCGCTATGGGTTGATGGCATGAAGAAACAGGTATAATATCATTACAGATGGTACAGTACAAACAGGTAGAGGAATGTTCCAGAAAATAACTGCTCACATGCAAAAGGAGTAAAGCCTCAGTCAGACCTAGCTCAGTGATATTCATTACATTGCATTACACTAATGACAAATAAAGTAAATGCAGAAAAAATACTGGTTCTATTGGCAAGAAGAGTCAGTAATCAGATTATACAGGTTTAAGATAATGGGCAAAAGAACCATGTAGGAGATGAGAAATTTATTTCATGTGGTGAGCTGTCATGATCTTGAATGCGCTGGCTGAAATGATGGTGAGAGAAGATTCAATCACTTTTCTAAAAAGAGAATTAAATAAATACCTGACTGTGAGAGCTTCACAAGGCTATAGGAAATTACAGATTAGTGCCTTCAAATGGTGTAATGGCATTAATCTGCACTTTATGATTAAGAAGGAAAGAAAGATTTGCATTTATGTAACATCCTTCACAAATGTACTTCACAGTCACTGCTGTTAATGTCAGAAACATGGCAGCCAACTTCCATGCAACAAGCCTGCACAAACAGGAACATGATAATGAGCAGAGATAATGCTCTATTGTGAAGTCAATCAAAGTATAAAATCAGTCACGACCCCGGGGGGGGGGGGGGGGGGTGGTAACTCCTCTCTGCTTTTCTTTGAAGTAGTGTCATGAAATGTTATTTATGCACCCAAGCAGACTGATAGGGCCTGTTTATCATATCATCCAAAGCTAGCACCTCTGACAGAGCAGTACTCTCTCAGTATTGCACTGGACTGTTGAACTTGATTTTGTACTCCAGCCCTGGCATGGGACTTGAACCTGGAATGTTAAGACTCAGAGGCAAGACCGACTAAGTTGCAGATGACACATGATTCCACAACTCACAGATGAAAGAACAGTGAGATATGACAGTTTCACACTGGGGAGGCAACTTGAAGATCTAACCCACAGAGAACTCTTCAACTTGAGTTATAAAAGCACATGTTTAAACAGGAAGGGGAGACTGAGAGAAGTTAGCTGTTGAACTTGCTGTCTCACGTCAGTGAGACAAGTGCTTGTCCAGAGTTGTTTCAAAATTCTGGTGGCCCTTGTTCCACATTTTAGGATGATAGTCAGTCTGAGGCTATTTCAGGAATATGCATTTTGACCGTATGACTGGAGTTTCTGTTTCAATAGTTACAATAAAATGAAACCATAATAACAGCGTAATGTGACTAAGGGTGCTGAACACATATAGGAAATTTATTTAGTGAGATAGCAACAACTGCCAAATGACACCAAATCAAAATATTTGTAGATCATACTCAGTTCCAAATGGTGAAATTAAGTTTGTATAAGTTTCAACAGGTATGTCCAACCTAACTTGCCCTGCCTTCCTGCACCAATTGTAAAGTGAACTGATTCTTCATTGCCCACTTGGATGATTCTTGAATGTCACAGCACAACCACTTTTAACTCACAATTTCTTTATAACCAGTAAAGGTATCCTGGAAAGATGGCGACCATTTAGTGTCAAGGAGTTAGGTTACTATAATTGTTTCATGAGCCTTGGATTAGAGAGGGAAGAGTTAAATTCAAACTCAATTCCTACTCCTGATCGCTATTCAGGGATCCTTGTTGGGAAATGGAAACATACACGGCTGTGCCAAACTGCAAGGGTCAGAGAGACTACCATGATGGAGGAACAGCCAAGGAGCAGAGGACCCAAATCAACCACTCAACTGGAACTCATGGAAACGAACACTTTTAAGAGGTGAAAGAAAGCAACTTAAAGAAATAAAGGAGCAGGAAAATCATGCTTTATACTCAACTGTATGTTATATCTGCAATTTTTGATAAAGATTACATTGAAGGGACTTGATCCATATCTGGCACCGGCCACACATTGCATCTATTATAAATACCAGCCTAAATAGAACAAAAGGCTTACTGCCTTGCAATATTTCATTGCTCAAAGTTCAAAAGTTCTATCACCAATGATATGATATATTCTCCAATTATCAGTAATTTGTCAGATTCTTTGCAGGTAATCCTTCAGATTAATAAACTAGCTCCTGGGAAAATAAACTGACACCCCCTCTAAAATAATCTCTAGTGCACTGATTGGCTATGCAAAGGCATAGTTTAGCCTTCCTGTTAAAATATTAGATATCAATATACTTGCAAAATTGTCAATTGCAGCATCAGGTGGAATAAAATAAAAATAAAACAAATTAAAAATTCGCTGGGATATACTGTGTTTTTTGACTGATTCTTTTATATGTCATCCTAAGAACTGAGTCAAAGAGAACAAGGATTAAACTTGCCCTTAATCTGACATATTCTGTGGAAGCTCACGTAAAGGGCACTTTCTGACATTGTGAGATAGTAAGAAATGCCGATGCTGGAGTCAGAGATAACAGTGTAGAGCTGGAGGAGCATTTCTGAAGAAGGGTCCCGACCCGAAACGTCAACTTTCCTACTCCTCTGAAGCTGCCTGGCCTGCTGTGCTCCTCAAGCTCCACAGTGTGTTATCTCTTTCTGACATTGTGATGGGTGCAGAATTGTTATGCTGTTCCAGCTGTAACGTCCTCGTCCAAGTCTGAACTCTTCACTCTCTGTGGAAGATTTCTGTTGGCCCAAAGTCAGGTGTGAACTGTTGGTCCAGGAGCTTTTAAAAATGGTCTGCTGGTAGTCACAAATCACTGGTCTCAACCGTAACTTCCTTGTCCCTTGCTCCACAGACAAAGGAAACCGGGTTCTGCAGAAGATGTCTGGAATGGGAGAATTACAAAATATAGAGGAGGTGGATGAGTTGCAGCAAGCTTTTCCACTACCAGATGACTGACTCCTTTTTAAATAAAAACAGAAAATACTGGAGAAACTCAGCAGGTCTAGCAACATCTGTGGAAAGAGGAACAGAGTTAACATTTCAGTTCAATGTCTGACATCTGAGCTGTTCCCTAGAAATGTTAACTCTGTTTTCCTCTCCACAGATGTGGCCAGACCTACTGAGTTTCTTCAGCATTTTCTGCTCTTACTTCAAATTTCCAGCACCTGCAGTATTTTGCTTTAATGTGATTCTAATTTTAAACTGCAGGCAGTAAAACTATCAGGCCTGGGGCTGTGGAATCTACTTTAGTTTACTCCTTTTTTGTATTATGACTGTTTTCTTTCATTCTCAGGATGTGGAGGTCTCTGCTCATCCCTCATCTATCCTTGAGAAGGCGAAAATGAGCCATCCAATTTTGGAACTGCCGTATTGAGGGGTACACTCATAATGCTAAGAAGAAGTTGATAGAAGTTTGTAAACCAATGAAATTAATAAGAATACATCAAGATCAGAGGGGACAGAAGTCCTGTGATGGGAAGCAGTGGCTGCAAGTCATGTTACATTTGTTACAACAATGCTATGACTAGTTCAAACCTTGGCGATAAAATGGCATGAATTGAATCAGCATGTTTCAGCTTTTAGCAAAGGTCTGTCAAAGGCAAGTTCCCATTAAGAGTGAGTTCAGTCTGGAGTGTTGATCTGAAGACAAAGTTCTTCAGGTTACATTATGCTGACTCCTTGCTCTCTGGTCCACCACAAGGTCCTAGCCAATATATAAACTGCTGTACCTGAGCACTTGCTCAGATTTGAATACATGCTCTTTTAAATCAGCTGATCTGCTGGAGATGGAGAGGTTACGATTCCTTAAGCATGTTGATCCTAGCACAGATTTTGAGTGCTGGCCCGAGCTTGATGTTCATGGCACTCATTAGGTGGTCCTCCTTCAGCAAGAGCAGAGCCTGGCCGTCAATCTCCTGGGACCGAAATTCATCAGCAATATCCCTGCAACCTGCGCGTGAAAACCACACAAAAATGGTCTGAATTACCACTGAAGAGATTTTCATTTTTAATTAATGTCATAAGATACAGGCGCAGAGTACACCGCACAGCCCATCGAGTCTATTCCATCTTTCAATTAGATCATTGTTGATCTGATAATTCTCAACTCCTTTCCTGCCTTATCCCCATAACCCTTGATTCCCGTATTGATTAAAGATTTATCTCAGCCTTGAATATAGCTAGCAACCCAAGCTCTACAGCACTCTGCTGTAAAGAATTCTAGAATTTTATTACTCTCTGTCTTAAATAAGCAAACCCTTACTTTGTGATTTTGTCCTAGACTCTCCCACAATAGGAAGCAAGTTCTCAAACTGATGGATATCACCAAAGGAATATAGGAGAGAATAAGAGAAGCTGGGCTGTTGCTCATCGAGTAGCAGAGGGCAGATTTGATAGACATGTTCAAAATTATGAAGGGTAAATAGACTGAGAAAAACCGTTTCCGCTGACAGGAAGGTTAGCGACCAAAGAACACAGATTTTGGTAACTGGCAAAAGGACTAAAAAGGACGCAGGAAGATTTTTTTAATTCCTGCAATGAGTTGTTGATTTCTGGAACGCTCCACCTGAAAGGGCAGCAGAAGCTGATTGAATAAAAACTTTCAAAAGGAAACCGGACTAATATTTGACAGGCAAAAGTTACAGGACTACAGGAAAAGTATAGGCAAGGAGTGAAATAATTGGATAATGAAGAGCCTGCAATGACATAATGGGCTGAATGGCCTCCTTCTGCCCTAGGACATAGAACAGTGCAGCACAGGAACGGGCCCTTCGACCCACGATGTTGTGCCGAATATGACGCCAAATGAAACAAATCTCTTCTGCCTGCCCTTGGTCCATATCCCTTTATTTCCTGCATATTCATGTGCTTACCCAGAAGTCCCTTAAATGCCATTATCGTGTCAGCCTCAACCACCACCCCTGGCAGTGCATTCCAGACTCGTACCACTGTCTGTGTAAAAATTCTGCCCCTTATGTCTCCTTTGAACTTTTCCCCCTCTCACCTTAAATGCATGCTCCCTAGAATTAGACATTTCAACTCTTGGAAAAAGATTCTGCCCTCTACAAATAATGAAAAGACAGAGTTAAATCAAAAAATAGCAGCCAGGTGTCACTAGGTTTAGGCTGCATTAAGGAGGATGCATATACCTAGAGAGGTTAGAAGGCCTGTAATTTGGAGTTACTCAGAAAAAAAAACTGCATCACAGGAGGAATCCATGACAAATGCATTATAAAATAAATCAAATCTCAGTGAAGTCATTTTTAAGAGCTGTCTCTTTGGGGTAATCCCTTAATCATACTCGAATTAGGACTACAATACTGTAGTCCCAATTTCTGATTTACACCTCCTACGGGTAATAATTCTAGGAATTGAGAAGGAAGTCTAACCACCCAACCCCGATATACTCCACACCCAACGCATCTCCCACTCTATCTCCCATACAAGCTGACAATCAGTTAAGCACAGTGAACATGGTAAGCAGGGCACACACCTGGTAGAGAGTGAATGAACTCCCATACATGGTCAACTGTCCACAATGTTGGGTCCACATGTAGTGTCTCACTGCAGTCCGGCACCTCCCTCATCCTCTGTTCTCGCATTTCCCGTTCACGTTCCCGCTCATTCTGCCGGCGGCGTGTTGTCATGGCAACGGCAACAGTTTCTTCAGGAAGTGGTGGGGTGGAGGTTGTTGTGGCCTCTTCTACAGGAGTGAAGCTAACAGGCATCTAAGAAGGAGTTAATAATTTTGTTATTTTCAGTGCTTTACAACTGTGCTACTGAACGTTCATGGAAGTTAGTAATATGGTATCCTGTGGTTACCTGTCCTGTATTCTTTACATTGACATAGGGCAAACCACCAAACCCTAGAAAAAAAGTCTCTCATCAAATCCTCATCAGATGGAAGTCAGACCAAGGAAGATGGAGGAAGATCCAGGGAATGGGTCTCTAACACTTCAGCTAGGGAGCAGAATATTGCCCTCACAAGACATTTTGATTAATAAACTCTGTGCCAACTGTTCATTTATCTTCTGATACGAGCTAGCTAGTCTCAGCTGTCACATGTTGACTGCTGAGATAACCAGGTGTAGAGCTGGATGAACACAGCAGGCCAAGCAGCATCAGAGGAGCAGGAAAGCTGACATTTCGGGTCTGGACCCTTCTTCAGAAATGGGGGAAGGGAAGGGGATTCTGAAATAAATAGGGAGAGAGGGGAAGGCAGATAGAAGATGGATAGAGGAGAAGATAGGTGGAGAGGAGACAGACAGGTCAAGTAGGCTGGGATGGAGCCAGTAAAGGTGAGTGTAGGTGGGGAGTTAGGGTGGGGGTAGGTCAGTCCAGGGAAGACGGACAGGTCAAGGAGGCGGGATGAGGCTGGTAGCTAGGAGATGGGGGTGGAGCTTGAGGTGGGAGGAGTGGATAGGTGGGAGAAAGGACGGACAGGTTAGGGAGGCGGGGACGAGCTGGGCTGGTTTTGGGATGCGGTCGGGGGCGGGGAGATTTTGAAGCTTGTGAAGTCCACATTGATACCATTGGGCTGCAGGGTTCCCAAGCAAAATATGAGGTGCTGTTCTTGCAACCTTCGGGTAGCATCGTTGTGGCACTGCAGGAGGCCCAGGATGGACATGTCATCCAAGGAGTGGGACGGGGAGTTGAAGTGGTTCGCGACTGGGAGGTGCAGTTGCTTGTCGCGAACCGAGCGTAGGTGTTCCACAAAGCGGTCTCCAAGCCTCCGCTTGGTTTCCCCGATATAGAGGAGGCCACATCAGGAACAGCGGATACAGTATACCACATTAGCAGATGTGCAGGTGAATATCTGTTTGATGTGCAAGGTTTTCTTGGAACCTGGGATGGGGGCGAGGGGGGAGGTGTAGGGGCAGGTGTAGCACTTCTTGTGGTTGCAGGGAAAAGTGCCAGGGGTGGTGGGGAGTGTGGAGCAGACAAGGCAGTCATGGAGAGAGTGGTCCCTCCGGAAGGCAGATAAGGGTGGGGAGGGAAAAATGTCTTTGGTAGTGGGGACTATCTCTGTCTCTTTAGCTAATGTATCATATATAAACTGCTGCTTCATAATAAATTTTGTAAGCTATCCTAAAATTACTTATGAGTAGTCAACTGCCTATCTTAGCTGTCTGTGACTCCCAAACACCAATTGCGACACTCTGCTTTAAAATTCTACGTAACTGAATTCAAAGTTGGTGCAAAACTGTTTATTCTAATAATTTTATGTATCAATTACCTACTATTTTTGAGTGAAATTTAACTAACCAGATAATTCATCAAGTTATAATCACAACATTTTCTCTGCTCGTTTGGCTTGTCTGCATGCTTTGAGCATTTTAGTAATTCAAATTGTACCACCTCCTTTTTGCAGGCCAAACAAGCACCATACATCTCTAAATCTTTTCCAATATTCTAGGCACCTCAATCAGTCCTGTAATCAAAACTGGCTATAATATCTCCAATTCCCACATCGTAGTTTTGACATTACCTCTTTGGATTGGCACTTCTTAGATTTGCTTCAACATCTCACCATTCTGTTTGTCTTGGCAAAATCTGTTAGACAGTATGAACACAATGCTCGGCCAATTAGTACACAGAAACTTTGCCCCTGCTGAAATAATAAATTTTTCCACGTGCAATCAGTTGACAGCCCAGCCCAGGATTCAAATTCAACATCAACTGATTAGTAGCCAAACACTGTACCAACAAACATTGCCCCATTGATGAGGAAATGATCACCTACCTTGGCTAATGTCCTGAAAGAAAACAATATGATTAACCTTCAAGCAAATTGGCTGGATTTGGGTTTGAACATAATGAAAAAGTAATCACTTGAAAGATGCTATTTTCCACCCATTCCTCAGGAGACTGCTTACATTCTCCTATCAATACCAGTCAGCTGGACGGAACTTTTGAATGCAACAGAGCTATTGTTAAGATGAGGACACAAAAATGATTAATAGACTGATTTATTTTGAGAATAGAAACAGGTACGAGTTTTGTTTATCATTTTAAAATGGGGAATGTCTATTTTCTGTTGGCATATAGGTGCACAAGTACCTGAATAACATTATCAAGACCAGCAGGAACATGAAAATTACCAGATCAGTGGAGGAAATGCATTTTCTAATTTTGAAGGGAAGAGTTTGCTCAACAGAACACACATTCTAACTGTATGTTCACTCTATCCATCCTCGGTAAGGTTCACACAAATTTAAGACACCATTACCACACATTATTACATTTTGACTACAGTTTGTCCAGCTTGGATTCCCATTTTTATCGGATTCAGGACACAGGAGATAAAATTGAATTAAACTAAAAATGTAATGATCATATCATGCATCTACACGTCTTACTTTCATGTCCCTTATACCTGTCTCATAAAGTGATCGGCTGATGCTCCTTCAATGATATTGGGTCTCCTTCCTCGTCGGTTGAACCCATGGGGTTCTGTTTTCTTCGTCCAACGTGTGCTCTTGTCTGATTTAAAAAGCCCCATTCGTTTACTGCAGCCAACATTGTACCTTGAAAATCAGAAAGGGAAATATTGTTGAGTCACTTTTTAATTGAGGAAGTCAATGCATTCTCTTAAAGGGGATGCAAAAGCAAAGAAATTCACCAAGGCTCCTTAACCAGCACTTTCTAAACACACAAGCATTATCATTCAGAAGAGAAGCAGATACATGGGAACACCATCAACTGCAATTCCCCTCAAAGACAAACACCATCCTGACTCGCAAACTTATTGCCATTCCTTCAGTGTTGCTGGGTCAAAATGCTGGAACTAGCTCCCCACCAGCATTGATGGTTTCCATACAGCAAAATGGATGAAGCAGTTGAAGAATGCAGCTCACCACCACCTTCTCAAGGGCTATTAGTAATGGACAATAAATGTTGGCCCAGTCAGTGACATACACTTCCTATGAAAAAAATTTTTTAAAAAGACATACGATGGTGTACACAAATTTTTGGAAGCGTCAGGACATGTTGAGGAAAATGTTAACAAAATGCATATGGTATCCACAGTTTCACAAACAGAGGCAATGAGTACAAGACTACAAGAATATAAGTACAGGGGTGGCATGGTGGCTCAGTGGTTAGCACTGCTGCCTCACAGCGCCAGGGACCCAGGTTCGATTCCACCATTGGGCGACTGTCTGTGTGGAGTTTGCACATTCTCCCTGTGTCTGCGGGTTTCCTCTGGGTGCTCCGGTTTCCTCCCACAGTCCAGAGATGTCCAGGCTAGGTGGATTGGCCATGGAAAATTGTGCTGAGGGATGTGTAGATTAGGTGGGTTATAAGGGGATGGGTCTGGGTGGGATGCTCTGAGAGTCGGTGTGGACTTGTTGGGCCAAAGGGCCTGTTTCCACACTGTAGGGATTCTATGATTCTATAAAAGATGTCAAGTCTTTATAGAGAGGATGCAGAGGTGGTTAACTAGAAAGGTACCAGAGATGTAGGACTGCAGTTGCGTGGAGAGATTACAGAAGCTGGGGTTCCCCTCCTTCGAGCAAAGAACATACCAAAAGCATATTTTCATTTCCACTCATTTTTCAGCCAACAAAATCAGAATGTCCAGGGATCAGCTGTCATGGTATCTGGCTGGAGAGGTAGCAACAGCCCCAAGACACCTCTGGTGGCGTCGCACCATAGTAAGTGCTGACCAGATGCATAAGCAGTCACTGTTGGGCATTTCCCAGGATCAAAGATCATGGGAGAAGAATCTCACTTCTCTGCCACAACAACTACCAGCCGTTCAGAGGGTTTCCATTCTCTGCACCATCTGGAATGGTGGCAACTGCCTGCAATGCATCCATCAAAGATCCAGGATCTCTAAGGTTTTCGAGTAAGTTTGTAGCTCGGGTTGTGGATGTTGTAGTTGGTTGGCTCGCTGAGCTGGTTATTCCGCAGACGTTTCGTTACCCTGCTGGGTAACATCATCAGTGCAGCATCTGATGAAGCGCTGTTGTGTTTTCCCACCTGTCATTTAAAAACTATGGATACGCTACGTGGATGACACCTACATCATAATTAAATGGACCAAAATAGAGGAGACACACAAATTAATAAACAACACCCTCACCGAGATCAGATTCACCAGAGAAGAGGAAAAGAAAAAACAGCTCCCATTCCTGGGCGTCATGGTGGAACGCAGGTCCAATGGGAAATTCCTAACAAAAGTACACAGGGAAGCCACACACACTGACCAAGTACTGAATTTCAACAGCAACCACCCTAACACACACAAATGAAGTTGCGTGAGAACATTATTTAAACGGGCAACAACACACTGCAGCAGCACAGAGCTACGCCAAGAAGAAGAGTCCCTCTTCCAAGTGTTCAAAGACAACGGATACTGGGTCAGAAGATGCCTATTACACGAACAACACCAAGAAGATACTACACGCCCCGACATACTCATCATGCTACCTTACATCAAGAACACATCTGAACTGACCACAAGACTCCTACAACCACTGGGCATCAGAGTAGCACACAAACCCACATCAACCCTACGCCAACTGCTCACCCGAACCAAAGACTCACTAACCGTTACGGACAGGCCCAATGTCATATACAAGATTCCCTGCAGAGACTGCGACAAACATTACATTGGACAAACAGGAAGAAAATTAACCACAAGAGTACACGAACATCAACAAAAAGATACGACCAATACTCACACATTTCCATTCACATGGATAAGGAAAACCACCAAATTGATTGGGAAAACACCATGATCCTGGGACAGGCGAAGCAGAGACAAGCACGGGAATTCCTACAGGCCTAAGAAAGCCATCAATAAACACATAGAGCTAGACCCCATATACACTCCATAGCGAAGGAAAACCAGAGTGAGGTAAGTGAGCTCAACGGACACCAGAGTTTAAATACCAGGTGGGAAAACATAACAGCGCTTCATCGGAGGCTGCACTGATGATGTTACCCAGCAGGGTAACGAAACGTCAGCGGAACAACAAACCAGTTTGGCGAGCCAACCAACCACAAAGATCCAGGATCAAGGACATGAGGTCAAAGCTGACTGAAGGCAGCATAACAGTCATGTGGTGGGGTCTGTGAGAGAGATTGGGAGAGGGAAGGAGCATCAAAGGCTAAGGTATGGGGGTAACTTTCAGTGGGACCTCTCCCTTTCCGAATACCAGGTCCCTCGGTCAGGCCTCTGAACCAATGGACTCCCTTGTCAAAAGTCCTCAAGCAAATTGGAACATTCCCTTTCCAAGTACCTGCATGACAAGTACCCTACCCACTGCCAAAAACATTTTATTGCATCCCCCACCCCCCCACAAGGACCCTGATTAGTATCCCAACAGGAAAACTGCCCACGAGCCTTCTCGCCCCAGACTTAATCAGGCATATGTGAAAATTTGGCATGGTGTCCATCCACCCACTCCTGGCCGATGAAATGGCCCCACCCACCTCCAAATTCACCAGCTGAGTGGCGTTAAATTCCATCCATGAACTCTGGTTCTCTCTCCATGGATGCTGTCTGGCCTGCTGAGTTCTTCAACATTTTCAGTTTTGATTTAAGAACGTATTAGATCAAAGAGTTAGGTCTTCAAAGAAGTGAACATGGAGGGCTGCTTTAACAAGAAAATTCTGGGATTTAAGACTCCCAGACAGCTGAAGAAATAGCCATCAATGGTGGGGCCAAAGGAGTGGAGATTAACAAGAGGCAAGACAGAAGGAGCTGAGCAACCTTAGAGGACTGTACAAACAACATCCATCTGTGATATAACTGGAATTGTATATTTTCCTTAAATTACATACTCTTGCTTCGTCATTATTAAGCATTCCAATTAATACTGCCTCTTAGTGAGTTTACACAGCTTGTTTTTCTGAAGACATTCACACTTTCAAGGAACTCAACAGTTTGCCACCGAGTTGTATCATTTGAATACAATGCTTACAGCAACTTTTGAGCCCTTTTGAAATGATACATTGCTCCAAGTCTTGATTTGGCAATGGTCCTATAAACTTTATTGAAAATACAACTCTCAAAGTCAGCAAACAGCTTGCAAAGACTCAGAAGTTCCAAGGCATATCTTAGTACACATATTTCAGATCATAATGTTCAGTTTGTGATGGCCCTTATGCAGAACAACCTAGTTTGATTTGGCAGTGAGTTAATAACAGGGACCCATAATGTACACACAAGAACTGTTCTCACTGTCTGACTGTACACTCTGAGCTCAGTTGCCAAATGGAAAGAACGCCATCATCATTTACTTTGAACCCTATCGATTTTCTCCCCAGAGAGCTTCAAACAAAATGGTTGGATGTTTTTCAAGGTTTTGTGCACATGAGAAGGCTTGGCAGATTTGCCAATCTGATACAGATCACTTTCATCACATCTTCTGGCAATATTTTGAATGACGAACTATTAAACCTGACAGTTTTGGGTCAGCTTAGAGATGTCATGCACAGCTTTGGAAACAGTGTATCATGCCTGGGAGCTATCAGCAATGCCAAATGAGGAACTATTTTCCTTTGTCCTAGGCAATAAGCTACATAAGTAACTAGTGAAAATCTGTTTAATTCTTGCAGTCTGCCTCACAGTTAGTTTCTTGCAATATTAAAAGTTTGAATGACACAGAAGGCCACTTAGCATTCGAAATAGTAACATTGGGTATGATCTATTGCTGTACATTCTAGAAAGGAACACAAGCTCCTCTAGTACTACACCAAGTCAGACTGACTACGTTGTGACTGTGCAAATCACTACTTTCAAAATAAAAAGTAAACAAAAGCATTTTTGATAAATCATGCAATGACATTCTGCTGAGTAACATTTTGGAAATTACTGCTAAAGGAATGAAGTATAAAAGGAGCGGAATGTTGTTTTAATTGTACAAGGTACAGGCGAGACAGCATCTGGAGTACTGCATACAGGTTTGGTCCCCTTTCTTGAGGAACAATGTAATTGCGTTGGACGCATTTCAGAGGAGGTTCATTAGATTAATTCTAGAGATGAAAGGCTTGTCCTGTTAGGGGAGATTGAGCAGTTTAGGCCTACACTCACTACAGATTGGAAGGATGAGATGGATCTAATTAAGACATATGAAATGCTAAAGGGGATCGACAAAGTAAATGTAGAACTGCTGTTTCCCCTTGTTAGGCAATCTAGAACGAGAGGTCATAGTCAGAGACAAAGGAGCTGCAGATTTAAAACAAAGATGAGGAAGAAATTCTTCTTTGAAAAGGTGCTACTCTGAGGAATTCACCTTTGCAGGGTGCAATGGGCACCAGGATCCTGACTAAATTTAAGGAGATAGACAGATTTTTAATTAGTAGCGAGTTAAAGGGTTACGGACTGCAGTCAGGAAAGTGGAGTTGAGGCCAAGATGACATCAGCCATGATCATTGTAAATGGCACAGCTGGCTCAAGGGACTGAATTGCTCCTGGTTCTTATGTTGTTATTTGAAAATCCTTTTTTAACTTGGGACAAACGAAGCCTCAATTCCTGTGGAAATTCGGTGAATCATTCATACAATCTCCCTATTC